CATCCTTAAGTGTACCAATTAAAAAAACCTTTATTTTTTTTCTTTTGGGATTAAAGTATTGATATGAGAGATTGTATTAATGTGAAGTAGGAACTCCTACTTTGTTCAATATAACTTGTTAATTGACCGTGTGAAATAATAAACAAGTTGTGTTTCTTTCTTTACAAATTTTAGATGGTCTAGGTTTCTCGCCAGCACAATATGCCTTGCTCAGTCCTTCGATTGTTTTTGTATTTTATGTGAGACTGAGTCGAGCACGTACTTCTATCCAAATCTTTTTTCTTAGAGAAGTGCTATTTCCACGCACACTCTGGACCGGATTGGTCCTTATATCTTTTTAAAAAAATTTTAAGAGTAATGATCCGCAGGACGATGTTGCGGAACGATTTTGGGAACGATTTTGGGAGATGACAAGTGAAGCAGGGTCAAATTGGTAATTGTTGCTGGGACTGCTTCACTTGTCGTTCCTCAAAATCGACCCGCAACATCGTCCCACGAATCATTACTCAAATTTTAAATAGAAAAATAGAAAAATGTAGTCGTCATTTCCGAGTATGACTAGCATTTCTTGTTGATTTTGGGCCGAAATTTCTCTTCTCAATTTCTTTAAACTTCGATCCCTAGGTTGATCTATACACAAATGGTTTTGTTGTTAATTTTAAAGTAATTATTTCATTGAGTAAAAAGGTTTATTATAAGAAAGGAGAATAATTTATGACTTATCGATTCGATATCCAACAGTGCACACTTCAAAAACTGAACAAATTATAAAAATAAAATTACAAATTTACTCTTAAAATCATCTTCTTCCTCACAATACTGCTTTTTCTTCCTATCTCTCCATCTTTCTCTTCAACAGTTCAACGCTAGTTTCTCAACTTTCTTCCTCCTCCCTCTCTTCTTCCCTCTCTTTCTACCTCCTGAAACGAATAGGTTCTTTTCTTTTAACACTTGAGTTCAAATTGAATCTAGATCTAGGTTCAAATACAAGGGTTCATGAAGAACCCAACTTCAAATAAGAGGAATAATAGGTCACAAACCAACAAAAAAATGGGATCACAAGAAAAACATATCACCAAAAACGAGTTACTATTCTAAGTATAAAATCAAAACTTACAAAGTTTCAAATGAAAAATTAACAATTTAGAATGTATAGGTTAATGTCTCTTGAACACCCGCCAAAATTTCAATTTAATCTAATGGTGAACTTCTGCAAATCAGACAAATAGCAAAGCTACGCATAATACTAAAATTACAAAAATAACCTCCTATTTTCTTTTCCCTTGTTTGTCGATTGACTCCACTCACATGCACTTCACTTTTAGCTATACCATCCCCAAAATAGACATGTTTTATGTCTTATGGGCTACAAAATCATGAGCTAAATCATGGATATTTTTTGAGAAAATGAACTATTTCTCAAGATTTGGTATTATTGTCATTTAGGAAACTTGCTCAAGATTTTGATTTGATGATTGAATGGTTGATTGAGTTGTGCTATGATTCAAATGATTTGTTTTTATTATCATTTGAAAAATGAGTTTTGTGAGGAAGAAGATGACTTTAAGGATAAATTTATAATTTTATTTTATTTTTACAATTTATTCGGTTTATAGAATGTGCATCACCAAGTATCAAACTGATAGATGCATGAATCATTCCCCTATAAATAAACATTGTGCATGAAATTAGTTTCTAAATTTTTAAAAAATATAAGTTAAGTTTTGTTTAGTACACTTTTTTTAGTGGTTAGTTTTTTTTTTTTAATGGTTTTTTTTAAATATATAAAATTTGTCCATCTTCTCATACCTTGTTGGCCCAAAGCTGCAATAATATGTAAGGATGTGGACTGATTTCTCTATGTTAGAATTATTGCATTTGAATGAAGAAGATTACAATTAGAAACACATAAATACAAAGAAAATAAAACCACCCAAAAAGAAGAAAAGACAAAGAAAATGATTTAATTTCTAGGTAATTCTTTTAATCTTCTTCATACTCCACAAAGTAGTTGGTTAACACATAATAAAGAACAAATACAAGAATTCTGCTTCAGAATGAAAGAGCATCGCAGCAACTGTCAAAAGCTTTCAGCAATAAAAGTACATGAACATGAATGTTAGGTCCACATCCAAGCTCCCATAGCTATTTGCAAGCAACAAAAAAAAAAAAAACTTTAGCGAAAGAAGAGTTTGTTATGGTGTTTATAAACCGACCGTGAGACAATGACATCACTGTAGGTCTGTAGCAACTGTGAGAGGGTTGTCTTTCTCTTACTAACTATTCTGGTGCTTAAATCTCACAAAAGCAAAGAAACCCAAAAAATGAAAATGAAAAGAGATAAAACATAGAGGGAAAAAAAGAAACTGAAGAAATGAGGGATATTGAGAAAGGAGACGATGGAGGCTGATAAAAACAAGATACCTCTTCCACCACCTATATCACCATCTCCCCTTTGCTTCTCACTATTGGTTTGATTCCCTTTAGAACCTGTACTAAAACCAAGTAACAACAAAGGAGGACAAACAACCATCAATTTAGCAATTTTAACTGCTTAAGCAACATCAAGAAAAGAAACAAAATTGAATTAATCCAAAGAATCTGGTCGACACCCTACAACTTGCAAACATGATTTTAACTATCCTGACCGTGGAAAGAAAGAATAAGCCTCTGCAATTTCTTAATGGCATGTATAAATCACCTCTGGCTGCAGCTCAATGCAGTAGGCAAAATCAGCCATGAAAAATTTTCATAAAGAAACCCTACCCAAAATAAATTTGAGATGAATTGCAAACATGCTAAAAAAAAAGTAGGCAAACTTGTTAGCAATGAAGCCATAAAATTATATAGGCCAAAATCCAAATATGTTAATTACACTAAACCATAAACAGGCAACCTCATTGGAAAAAAAACCATAACTAAAATAGTTGGTGATGGACATAAAACCTGTCCACAAATCAATTCGGCCCTTCAGACCACTCCAGGGCTTATAAAATTAATAGTTACTCAGCTCTAAACCATGAATAAGATTAAGTCACGGGTAACATTGAGCACAAATACACATGGATGAGTAAATGCAAGACCCAATCAGTATGGATTAAACCAAGGTGCTTAAAATTAGTTCCGGCAGCACATAGAGTCAAAAACCAAATGAAAAAGAATCCATAATACTGCAGTATATGATCTAACTATCAAAAAAAGAAAGCTTTCAAAATTATGTCACCAACTAAGCAGACATTTCGAACTTTAAGTTGGCATGATTAGAATCTATCAACATATTCAGAATCAAAGATCAGAGATATCTACCTCACTGGTAGAAGCTTTGTCATCTTTCTTTGATTCTGTTTCCAACTAAGCAGGCATTACAAACTTTAACTAGACATGATTAGCACCTATCAACATATACAGAATCAAAGATCAGAGATATCTACCACACTGGTAGTAGCTTTGTCATCTTTCTTTGATTCTTTCTTCCTTTTCCTCTCAGATTGTAGTTCTTTCGCTTTCAGCTCTTCACAGAAGGACCTCAATGTGGCAGCTAAATGTTCATTTCTATGTGCTGAAATACAACTTGCAATATTATATATTTTAGGACATCCACACAGATATGACGGCTATTTGAACCTATAATGCAAGTATCATTAACATCAAAGGAATCATAGACAAAATAGTTCTGACTGAGTCTGCTGAGAACTAAGGCCCAAAAAACTCACCAGAAAGAATGACATCTTCAGTGTTAACAGATTGACGGCCAGCATACTGAGCAAATAGCTCAAGATCCTTTGCCAGATTCTCTGCATTTAAAACAAGCATGCCTTTTTTAGTTCAAGAAAACCTTGTGGTACAAAGAATAGAACAGTCAAATAAGACATGCAAATTCACCTTCCATTTTCTTGAACTTAACCTTTTGCAGTGAGACAGATTTATGTGTAAAGCAACATTATTAATATTCCCACGTTGGTGTCTTATTTTCTACTCGTTAGGATGCTGAAAATATTGTACACAAACGTAGCAGTGCCAAACATGACACAGAATAGCAGTGCAACAGATGGAGATAAAAATCAGACAAGGTGCCAACATGCTCAACACTACTTGATCTTTACTTTCACCAAGAAAATTAAATCGATAAAGTGTGATAATGTTTTTATCATTAAAACGGTACCAACGTAACATAAACCTTCTACACACTTGCAAAAGATTCCAAGAACATATTATTGAGCTTAAAGCCAAAGCAGCATCTTAAAATCATCACACCTTGGCTCTCAAGACCCCACTATACCATGTATATAATCTAGAAAAGAATTATAAAAATAATTTGTGGTAAGAAATTAAAAGAATTAAACAGATCAACATAAACAAATAGAATACACAACACAAAATCAAATAAAACCCACCTCCTCAATATGTCTAATTCACGCCACTTGCTCTCCCCTCCGCAGCATCAGCAATCGCCATCTAAATCAAAAGGCAAGAGAAAGTGTAAGGAATTGAGATAGAAAAATTCAAGATACCGCCGAGAAGAGAGAGATATTGGATAGAGGAATCCCAGAGGTCTCACGGACACTGGCAACCATCACCGACCCATCTAAACCCAAAAGCAAACAAAAGGTGGAAGAGAAAGGAAGTCTGAAGTCCGAAAGGGAAGGGAAGGAAGAAAAAAAACTCAACACCAACTAAAAATTGAATCAGCAACCGAAAATTTCCATCAAGAACCATCCCCACTGCAGACAGCATAATCAGAAACGCAGGTAAAAGAAAATGCAAGTCATACTTGCGAGCACTATCAAATCTGCAAGCCAAGTCCACACAAAAGAAATTATAGGAGAACAATCTATGAATTAGAGAAACCACCTGAAGACCCAACACGTCAGTCATCTAAAAAACCCACCTTTCAAATCCTAAAACCCACTATTTTCCTGTCAAAATAAACTTAATCCTTGAAACCCAAAACCTGCACAAAAGAAAGAATTCAAAATAAAAAGCAAAAAATATGTACCTAGCAGACATTAGGACCCACTCCAAGCGCAGAAACGTACCAAGCAATGAGCACTAAAAGAAAAGCAACACTCCCTGAGGTTTCACAATGATGACTGAATGCAAAACCACAGGGAGGATTGCCATTCAACTACTTAAATCTCAGAATCCAACGCATCCAGGAACGTGATTTTCCTCTTTCATGATCGACGATGGAAGACCAATTTTAGAACACTGAATCAAACAACCAACGAGGGGTTGGATTAAGTGGTAAGCGGCTTCTTCCAACTTAAACAAGTTCTCCAGTTCGAGACTTGTGTATGCAGCAGACTTCGTTGAAAGACTCACCCACCATTTGCAGCTGCGCGACGCGAGTCGGTCCGGAATAATGGGGCAAATTCCCGAATACGGGTGGGAAAAAAAAACGCTGAATCAAACACAGGAGGAGATTGATAAGCGCCAGACCACTGAAAAAAACAAAAAAGAGCAAAAAGACCCAAAAGCCATGTTCGAAGAGGGAAAGGGAGACACAAAGACAGAGGACAAAACAGAGACAATGGACAAAGTATTTTTAGCAGCAAAATGACCAAAGAGCCATCACTAACGGATGAAAGTAAGAAAGAAACATTGGAGGGCAAAACTGGGAAAATGGCAGTTACTGTAGCATCCGTGAGAGGGGGCTCTTCCTCTCTTTAATTAGTTTGATTTCTACCTGCAAAGTCCTAATAATTTCGATCAGGCTGCGTTTTGGCAATTTTGGGCTTTGGTTTCGAGCGGAGAAGCTTGCCGGAGAGAGAGTCGAAGTTTCTTCAACCTTCGAAAATGGCCGACGACGACTACAACGATATTGACATGGGGTTCTCTCTCTTCCCCTCTCTCTCTCTATATACTGAAACTGTCTTTTATCTTTGTATAACTATTGATATTCCAATAGAAGTTCGGCAAGCTAGGATTTTGGATGGTCTAGTTTTATGGTTTTTATTTGTGCTTGAGAAAAATATGAGATAGGTAGAGAAATTTTCTGCTGAAACGAAGGGGCTGTTGGGTATGGCAGTTTGACACTAGCAGGTAGTGGAACACTGTTATTGATTGGATTAAATAAAACTGTTAGATGCTAGTTTCAAACTTCTATACCGCTCGTTTCATTGGTTTTCAAATTTTCTTTAGAAATTGAAGGCCGGGAAATTTTCAAGATGGGTATTTTGCAAGACGTCATTCTTTGGTTTTATGGCCTGTTCTAATTTTCAATCTGTATATTATTGTTGCTCAAGGACTTAATGAAGATTTGTACAAATTGTTACTGCAGATATGAGGATGAGCCTCCAGAGCCAGAAGTTGAAGTGGGTATTCATTTCTTTGTCTACATTTTAAAGAGAAATCTAGTTTAAGTGACTAATTATAATGAATTATTTAATGATGGGCAGGAGGGTGTTGAGGTGGAAGAGGAAAACAATAACAATGATGATGTTCCGGTAGAACCACTTGAAACTGAGGACAGACAGGAGCAGGAGTCCAAAGAAAAAACTCGCAAAACATCTAAATACATGACAAAATATGAACGTGCTAGAATATTGGGTACCCGTGCTCTGCAGATCAGGTTTCGTTTTGTAAACATCAACTTCTTTTTGGTTTTGTCCCTTGGTGGTGGGGTGGGTTATATCTAAATTGATGTTTTGACGAAATACTTTTTGACTGAGCAGCATGAATGCTCCTGTTATGGTTGAGCTGGAGGGGGAGACTGACCCACTTGAGGTGAGTTTATTTAGATGACTTTTTTTTTTTTTTTTCTTTGGCTACCTCTGTCTCTTTTTGTCATTTAAAGACCTAGGGTCAAGCAAATTCCATATCTACAATCAGGTATGCCCAATGGTTTTTGTTTGCAATTTGTGTATTTGAACATTTATCTTGTGGCATGTTTTGTGCTACTTCTATGCAATGAGTAATAGAATCGTTGGTGGTGGGCATTTAAACCTTCAAGTTTGGGACCTCAAAAGTCCCTCTGCCTTTTTTTGGAGACTAAAAAAAGGGGTCCTTTAGCCAGTGTTTTCTAGGCCAAGGGCTTATTGACTCTAGTGGTTGGTTTACTTGCATGTTAGATATAAGATTGTTAGATGACTAGTTCAAATGGAATAGGGTGTGAAGTGGGAGAGTTGGACAAGGAACTTTGTGCTGTGCTAATTTGGTCTCAGATTGTAACAGTTGATTTTCATATTTTAAAATTTTTTCCAACTTAAGCTATACACAGCATGGTGTTGTCAGCTATATTAAGATGTTTCAAATCTTTATTGTCTACCCTATATTCAATAAATATGCCATATTTGAAGAATATTTTGAATGAATCTTCCTATTCAAGATGTGTATGATAAGCCAATGTATGTGATCCCTCAACCAGGAAGAAAAATAACAATGATTTAAACCTTTCTTTTGCCCATTTTTCTCATTCTTTTACAGTGTTAAGGTTGCTAATTGTGATTTTATTATAATGTAATATAATTGAAAGTTATGATTGCCCTTGTAAACTACCTTTTGTATTCCCCTTCATGTTCTCTGTCATTTTCAGTTGCTTTGCATTGTTGTTTGATTTGTCATTACTACTTTCTCTGATTGTCATTCCCTCTTGAATATCAAATATTCTATACTTTCCCTTGGATATTTCTAGACATTTAACCTTTACATTTCATTTTTCATTTTAGGAAAACATACTGATATGTTGATTACATGATCAGTGATCATTTAGGGTACTTGTTATCATTGATCATAGAGACTGATTTCCTATTGCCTGTTCATTCCATGAATCTGATTTTCCAAATTGTTTTAGATTGCCATGAAGGAGCTTCGTGAACGCAAGATCCCTTTTACAATTCGTCGCTACTTGCCTGATGGAAGGTGAGAATTAGCTGAAAACTAGATTCCTTTTTATTTTCCCAAAAGAAAATGGGGGGTAAACAATGAACTCTTAAGATCTTAGATTTAGTCTTTTGCTTCCTAAGATAGTGAAATAGCATCATGTTTCTCACATTATGTATGGGGTAAATGGGAATAATGTTTCTGATCTGTATTTTATCCTTCTTTTGTTTCTTTACTGTGTTTCTGGTGTCTGGCCTGTCTAATTTTGTCCAAAATGTTGTCAGTTATGAAGACTGGGGAGTAGATGAGCTGATTGTGGAAGACTCGTGGAAGAGGCAAGTTGGTGGAGATTGATGCTGTTTGGAGATTGATGTTGTTTTGCTATGTAAAAGGGAAATTCAATATGCACATCATGTTCTGCTTAGATCTTAGAGATGTTAAATTCCAAATTAAGTAAGACTGATCTGAACACATGCTATGTTTTGTACTAAAAAAAAGCACTCTATGTCTGCTCTGAACCACTTTTAAGTGGGACGTTATGCAAGGCTAGCATTAGTATGCATTCTGAAATCTAAATCTGATCCATGTGGTGTTGAATCTATTTCAAGTACAATATCCTGTTATGGGCCACTAAGCAATTTCCGGGCGTCGATTGATGCATCTCTAACCAGAATCTCTTCCTTTTGAGTGTGTATGTTTGTTTAGATGATTTAGAAAAGTAATTTGTTCTTATATTTTGTTAAGTGGCACATCTGTCACTACATTTCTCTCTATTTATAAGATTCAAACTCAAAACTTTATTTAAATGAAACTGAATTTTTTTACATTGTTTTAGATTTGAGAGCTTATTTACACTATTTTTAATTTAGGGACTCATGCAATAAATTTTTTTTTTTGGGAAAACAAAAGAAGAAACAAAACAAAAGGGAAAAATAATCCCTTTTTTAAAACCCCTCCCAATTTGAAAAAAAAAAGTTTAAATCTAATATTTCAAATTTAAAATCTTAAATATTTATCTAATTACACCACCCTTTCAAAGTTAAGACTCATGTATTAATTTAGGTAAGTCTAGAGTGCCTACAAGCGATTTGTTCTGCCCTTAAAACAAAGAAAGTAAAATTTTGAATTAGAAAGATAAGTTTTGACTTTTAATTATAAATGGACTAAGTAGTAAGTAATAAAAATCTAATATTAGAGCATTTACTATTAAAATAAAAAGATTTGTATTTATCAGCTGAGTTTTTAAAAAAATTAAAAAAACATATCTCAAAATTATATTATTTTAATAAATTATTACTAAAAAGGATCAAAATACTTTCATCTCTACTTTAAAAATAAGTTAATTTTTCAATAGAAATTTATTAAAATAATATAATTTTAAGAAATTTTTTTACTAAATATTTAAAAAACATAATTGATAAACACTTTTTTCAAATCAATTTTTATTTTTTTTAAGATAAAAAATGTTACTAAATTTAATTATATATATTTTTTATTAAAAATTTGTTTAATATGTTTATTTTTATTTTATTCGTATTTTAAATTTAGGGGATTTTATGCTAAAGATCACGTCAATAAGCTTTCGTCTGCATTTTTTGTTTTTTAATTTTTTTATTTTTATGGCTTATTTGGTTAAAACGGAAAATTTTATTGGGAAAATGTTTATTAGAAGAGTAGTTAAAAAATATTATACAAAAATTGATATATTTTATAGTGAAATTTTGTTAGAATTTTATTATATTATTAACTTTTTTTATATTTAGTAAAAAATTGATATATAAAAAAGGTTAATAAAAAAATTATCAAGTAAGTTATATATAAAAAAAATTTTAAAAAATATGGTTTTTATAAAAGTATGGGAAAAATGTTTATAGATTGGGAATCATATTAAAAAAAAATTAAAATTTTCACTTTTACCCTCTTCATATTAATATATAAAAGTATATAAATAATCTCATAAAAAAATCTATTTTTTTTTTTTTTGAAAAATAACTTAACAAGCAAACAGCTCCTTGGTTTTACTATCAAAGTTTCCCGAAGAGCTTTCGCTTACTTCGGTTTCCAATCTTTTAATTGAATCGAGATTGGCTAATTCAAGCAGAGGACCATTCGGCTGCGATGCATACAGGCAATGTTTTTAAATCTAAATTAGAGATCAACCCGTTTTGATCTTGGTTTTGGTTAAATTAGTTAAACTATATAATTTGACCCGATGATATCACAACTAATTTTTTATAAATTATATGTAATAAATAAAATATTATTTAAAGTAAATACAACAAATGATTGATGGGTTGAATTGAGAGATTGTGATACTTTAATTTTTATGTCATTTAAATTATAATAAAATATTTTACACAAAACATATTGCTACATGAACAACATGACTCTTAATAATATATTTTAGGTAGAATATTATTTATTATAATTTAAATGATATAAATGTATAATTGTACTTTCAATCCGCACTTGACCCTTAAGACTTAGTGGCATTAATTATTGGTGCATTTCCCGAGTAAGGTTTGAATCTCGTCCCTTACAAAATATGTTAAAAAAAAAATTGTACTTTCAATCCATCAATAATTAAAATATGAAGGTATAATTGTACTTTCAATCCATCGAATAATTAAAAAATGCTTTCACCATCTAATCACTTAATGTCGTTGTGCTTAAATAATTTATAGAATGTTATTTATGATATCATTTGATAAATCATATAATTTAACCAATTTAATTACTCCAACCAAAACCAAAAATCAAAATGAGTTGACCCCCTCTTATTCGGTTTAAAAACATTGATTCAAAACCAATGGACCATCGACAACGACAACACATTTTATTCGGGTTTTTCCTATTGAGCCGATTTCAATTGTGTCGGGCCAAGTCCATAAGACATGTTTTCGTTTTTCACATTTTCATGCAAAAAATTCTTAAGCGCGGATCGATGAAATTTTTGTAATCGGAAAAAATGGAATTCTAAGGGTTATGGTGAAGAGAGGACGAGCTTTGAGTATCAACAGTTAGATCCAGTAAGGAATCCATGCATTCCAAAGAGAATTGCAGAAACGAGCTCCGAACTACCGTCATTCAACGCAGCGATCGCTGCCTCTACTCTGCTTCCAAATAGTACCACCTTTCCATAAACCTATGTTGAATAGTGTGTAAATATTAACATCTCACTTTAAAAAAGTATGAGAATCTAAAGAAATTCACATAGACCTATTTATTATCAATAAATAATTAATTAAAATGAAACCAAGGTAATTTGGGTCTTAGCCCTTATATATACCATCAAAAGATGGGTACTTGGGCACTTCAACTTTGCTCATACAATGAAAATATGGTGTTGTGTGACGCTTATTTCAACTTTGCTTGGTGAAAATTATGAAACATTTATTGGTTGGTTGCATTCAGTCTATAAGGTTACTTCCTGAAGGATATCTACCTGACAGAAGGATCGTATGGTGTAATCAAGTTTTTGCTACATTTTAGAATCTCTATTTCTATTTATTGTACACTCTTTTATTGCATCACGAAGGCTGGAGAAAAGTGGAAGGAAGAAGAGATGATGAACTTGAGGGACCCTTAGGTAAGAGCTATGCTGTCAACCGTGAACTGGTTTCTCTAGAGAGGGAGTTATCTACGCTTCGCAAGAATGGAATGCTTGATTCATTCGGGTTGTACTTGTATGGTCTTGTCCTTCAAGAGAAAGGCAATGAAAATCTTACTCGTACAGTTCTCGTTGATTCTGTGAACAGTTACCTTTGGAATTGGAGTGCCTGGTTAGAGTTGCAGTCTTTATGCACTACTATTGATAACCTGAACAACCTTAATCTCAATAATCACTGGATGAAGGAGTTCTTTCTTGCCAGTGCTTATCAAGAGCTTAGGATGCATAATGTGTCATTAGCAAAATATGAACACTTACAGGGCATTTTTGGTTTTAGTAATTATATACAGGCTCAAATTGCAAAAGTTCAGTACAGTTTAAGGGAATTTGAACAAGTTGAAGTGATATTTGAAGAGCTTTTAAGGATTGACCTCTTTCGAGTGGAAGACATGGATGTATATTCCAATGTGCTCTACACGAAGGAATGTTTCTCTGCCTTACTATTAACAGCATTTAATTTTTATTTAATTGGCAGGACAAGAAAACGAGTGGGAAAGGTCTTCCCAAATCTTCGGAAATCCGATCTTCCCAATCTTCACCTTTTATCTTTTTCTTTCTTATATAAACCCAAAGCACCCAGATATGTTATGATATTGTACACTCGTTTTTGGGTATAAGAAAAGGGCTTGATCCACAAAACGCCACACACCCAAAGGGAATTTGGTTAGGTATATTTGTCTGTGACGATGGCGGTCGCTGCCGGGGAGGTTTTCGCTTCTGGGTCTCAGGAGTTGCATGTTCTTGCCGTGGATGACAGCAACGCCGATGGAAAGATCATTGAGAGATTGCTGAAGATATCATCTTGTAAAGGTATGGTTTGTGGGTTTTGTTTTTTCTTTTGTTGTGGATGGGAAAATCGGGATTTTTGGGTGGATTTTGATGATTGATTGGGGTTTGGGGATTATGCAGCGACGGCTGTGGAGAGTGGAATAAGAGCCTTGCAGTTTCTGGGATTGGATGGAGAGAAACACTCGGGGTACAATGTAAGATATGTTAACCTTATGTAATCTATTGTTTGGTAATGAAAGAAAACAGAAATTTGAATCCCAGAAGTAGTGTTCTGTTGAATTTAAGATAAGATGAATTTGGTTTGACCATAGATTTGTTGTTTGATGGTTGTGATTACGGGGTTTGAAGGTGAATCTGATAATGACTGACTATTCCATGCCTGGAATGACAGGATATGAGCTTCTGAAAAAGATCAAGGTACCTATAGATTTATACTTTACCAAGTAGTATCTGTTTGATACTTTGATCTTTCAGAAAGAGAAATTGGGATTTAGTTTCATTGTTGATGTTATGTTGAGCAGGAGTCATCTGCTTGCAGACAAATACCTGTGGTGATCATGTCTTCTGAGAACATCCTGACTCGCATTGATAGGTATTTTTTCAATTCGATCATTTTTCTTTTGCATCGTGTTTGATATTGAAGGATTATCATATAAATGTGATGGGAGTGATCAGCTCAAGATCATCTTGATTTCTGTATGTTGTTAATCGAATAAAATCTGAAAAGGATAGCATTTGGAAGATTATACCAACTAAAGTTATTATGGCAACAAGATCAGGTAAAGATATGAATCTGGAAACATTTAGAATGGCCTCTGCTGACAAACTTAGTACTAGAATTTAGCTAACAACTTATAGAATTTCTGGAACCGAAGTCCCAGTGAAATCCGGCAGCATTCCAAAATAATGAGTGCGGAATTTGTGGATAATGCTTATTGTGGAGCTAAAGGGCAAGCAGCAGAGGTAACAAAACATGAAGCAATCATTTTC